CTACGGAACGCGGACGGCGACGGCTAATTTTTTTGTTTTTCCATTTGGAATTGAACGCCGCCATCGATATTAATAATTGAACAAGTTTTTAGAGCCATTGGCGCACTTAACAGATTTAGACGCTTGCAAACATTCGAATTCAGTTTTAACAAGGCGTCGTCGTTGTCGCTGCTTAACCTCCCCATTATCCGCGGGAGAACTGGGTATCATGTCTAATAGTAACTTGACTGGTACCACCTTGTGAAATACGGTTTTTTGGGAGATAAACTGTCCGACCTTTCTTCCTTTCTAACTTGATAAGGTTTCCTTTATTTTGACGGTAATTTATTTTGTTTATCGCGAAAATTGCCTTCAAATACGGTCGAGTTATAGAAACACAAGTGAAAGTTTGGTAGAACGAGAAATGCTGTGGGAACACGAGCCGAGAGGCGAGTGTTTCCACAGCTTTTTCAAGTTCTCCAAAACTTTCACTTGTGTTTCTGTAACTCGATAGAAACATGGAGAACATGTTTTCTATTCCTTTCAGAAAATACCACGACGAAAAGAGAAAACAACTTGTTTACTTTGATCATTAAAATCAGATGTAAAATAATTAATTCTCTTTGCTCGCGCCATCATCACGTCAACAGCTCGTGCTAGTTCTGTGTTACTATCGAGTTATAGGAACATGATTTTAAACCAATCAGTGCATGTATTTTCTTTGGGCTATTTTCTAATTTGTTATCCAAGTGTTATCCAAGTGGTCAGACAGTATATTTCCCATAAAGAACTTATTTCCAAGGTAATCCTTGTGAACTGGTAGTTCATATCTGATCTGATAATTCTATCTCATTTACAGTCAAACTAACCGCAAGTGGTTTAAGGACTCCTGTTCGCGGCAGCACCGCAGACGAACCTACTCCACTGAAAAGCACTCAGTTGAAAAGCACTCTACTGAAAAAGTCCAACACGACAATTCTAGAGTCGGAAACAGTGTCGGGAGAAGCGATAATTCATGATGACTTAGATGAAGCTTTCTCTAACCTGAGTGGATTGAGTGTAGTAACGCTGTACAACTGTATCGACTTGATTTCAAGTCTAGAGGAATCTCGGGAGCACTTTTTCAAGGCTGGTGCGATGCAGATCTTGTGGTGTCGGCTGCTCACTGCAAATTCATCCACAGTTCAGCAAATTGCACTTGCCACTGAAATGCTGTTGAACACATGCTGCTGTATGACCATGCTGGGGAAATATTATACTGGTAAGTAAAGTGTGTGACATAGATTAGTAATGGTAATCCTTCAGGTACTCCTTCCTTTGTGAGATGGATACCTCAGTCTCTATAAAGGATTGCCAGGGCTTTCATTAAGGTCCGTAACCCGCAACAACTACTCAGGGGTTTCAGTAAGGACCAGGCACTGGGCAAATTGGCCAGCTGTGAGAACAATTTTGCCCGGCTGGTTTGACCATCTAGCGGAAAGTTTTTCTTACAAAGGAGTTCAGTTCCAATAGTTTTGCCCACCTGTGAAAACCAGTTGCTCTCATGCTGAAAACGATAATGAAACCTCTGCCTACTACGGCTTAGTATGCTTCATAGGCCATTGATGTTATGGATGAAATTGCTTGTTGTTGATACTTTCTACCCCCGAAGTAATAACTTTGTTATGGGTGTGAAGATCAAGGCTACAGGTAAATCAAAACTAAATGACAGCCCTGGATACCTCTTAGTGAGGTGGGTACCTCTCAATGCATTGGGGACCTTTCTAAACAGACACTACTTTAAGACAAACACCTTGGTAAGGGCAACAGTTCATTAAGGCAGACACATCCCCATGAAAGACGTCTGTCTCAGGCAGACACCTTTCATAGGAAAACACTTCTGAGGAAGACACCTTGAAGAATCACAGACACCTTAATAATGAAGACACCTTTATAACTAAGACATGCACCTGTCTATAGTAGATGGCTGTCTTTCACAGACTTCTTCTCTTTTGGGGAAGCCTCTTTAAAGCAGACAACCTAAAGCAGACAACTCCCAAGCGCTTCCTGTGGCAGACACGTCTGAGAGTCGCAGGTCTAAGACAGCCCACTTCCCCTATCTCTGTTTAACAACCCCCATCTGACATTGCACCTTCTGTTTCCTTGTTGTAATACTCAGATCTTGTAGTGGAGCTGGACGAACAGACGAAGACTCCAGCCCTTGTGTTGAGTGCTGATCGTCTGGAAGCTTCCAACCCTAACTGGACATTTGAAAGCGTGCATGCCACGTTATGTGTGGGGCGTGGCATGTGTACAGTACCCCCGTATCCTTCTGGTTGGTACTATGAGGTGACCCTCAAGTCCACGGGCATACTGCAGATAGGTACTTGAAGCTTATGATTACTGAATTAGAGAGGAGAGCAAGGTAGAAATGCGTGTTTCATTCTAGATTGGCTTGGGTGATCTTAATCAATTTTTTTTAGTAATCTTCGGAGGTCTTCAGGACCTTCAGCAATCTTTGCAAATCGTCAGAATTCTACCAAAGTTTACGAATTATCTTACTCAAGCAGCTATTTGTTCAAGCATCTGGCAAGGTTTGTAAGCCCTTGGGTGAATCTCTGCAATCTTCGGATATTTTAGATTACCTTTAATAGCAGTTAGAAACCTTTGTGTGTCTTCGGAATAACTTTGGAAATCTCCCAATTTTTAATCGTATTACAACTGTCCTTCTATTTGCAATTTTCGCCACAGTGCTACATGAAAGCTGCAGTCAGGTTTTACCCATCACAATTCAGTTTTTTTTTCTAGTGTGTCAACTCGATAGACTATTTTCGTATTCTCGGTATTGGCCTGGAACTAGCTTGCAATGCGGGGAGTCTTTTCATATGCAAATGACATTTATCTCTTTTAATGGCATTCCCCCGCACGAGCCTCCATTACAAGCTCGTGCCAGTCCAATACCGAGAATACAAATACCGTAAAACCTCACGTTAAAGCCTTGGGCTTATATAACTTCATAAGGGGTTTTACGTGGGCTTATAAACGGGGTGGGGGGCTTATATACGGGAGGGGCTATAAACGGGGGGGTTTATAAACGGGGGGCTTATATTCGGGGGGGAGGCATTGCGCATATAAGTAGAATAAAAAAACTATGTTTCGGAACGACGAGATAAAACGTGTCTGAGAAGCGAATTAAAGCTAACATACCATTACATTTAGAGCCATTATCCTACTACCCTATTACCCTATCATTACCCTATTACCCTATTAGCCTGAAACTTTCAATTAAAAATTTTGATGTTTGTAAAGAAACGCCAAAGAAACGCGCTTATACATTAGTTAGGCTAATATCCGGGCGGGAGGGCTCATATCTGGAAAAAAATCTTTGTTAGCAAATAGAAGGGCTTATACCCCGGGGGGGCTTATAGCCGAGGGACTTTAACGTGGGATTTTACGGTATTATGGTATATTATTCTCGTGCCTTAGGCTGGCAAACTGAGGAATGCCGGTATGGTCCCGAGCGAGGTGTAGGAGTAGGCGATGACAAGAACTCCTGTGCGTTCGACGGTGCACGGTGTAAAGTCTGGAGCGGACCCCCAAGTGAACAGGTCAACAACGACTACGGTAGAGAGTGGAGTTACGGTGATGTTCTAAGCTGTTTATTCTCATGGAATGGAGAGGTCTCGTTCTGGTTAAACGGGGTGGATATGGGCGTGGCATTCAGGGGGTTAAACCCTGGGGTTAATTGGTACCCTGCGGCTTCTATCGCCATGGACCAACACTGCAGCTTCAACTTTGGTAGTAAGCCTTTCAGGTGTGGTTTTTATTTATTTAATAGAAAATTGTTTCTCTGAAAAGATTTCTCCCGAGACGTTTTGAGACTAGACTCAAAAAACCCATGCCTGCTGATCACGTACATGTAGTTCTACAGAGATCCGTTTAGCGCCTTTGATTGGTTGTTACTTACACGCGAAAATTGGTAACCAAAGAACATCCAATCACAGACACTACACGGGCTCCTGTAGAGCTACGTCACAAGTGTGGAATTTTTTCGTGTCCAGTCTCACGCGTCTCTCGAACGGGGATAGAATTAAGAACGCAATAACAGTTGTTTGTTGTGTACGTGGGGAATTTTGTATTTTCACTCCTCAAAGAATCTCGGGTGTGATTGGCAGCTAAGTAACTCTGCTTGACATAAATTTCCCTCTTTGTCCGTGACAAGAAGCCAGTTTGGAGTTTTGGAGTCGCCTTTTATCCATTTCCTCTCTTTAGAAACGAATCCTAGTGTACAACCGTTAACATGGAATGAGTTTGACTTACAAGGCAGTGTACCTGCCAATTAAACTCACTACTATATGAATAGTTGTACACCAGGACTAGTGCTGGAACAGAGAAAAAGAGAACTCGGAAATGGACTTTATATAACAAGTCACGATTCCTGTAAAACAGGTATGATATTCCTGAAGGCTACATAGCCGTTTGTCACGTGGTCTCCAACTTGGTCAAGAAAGGTCCACTGCGCCTGTCGTCCTGTTGGACACCGATCAGCGGTAGTTTTGAGAGTATAGTGGAAGAAGATGAAGAACTCAATGATGAGGAGGGATTGGAGACTACTGAAAGAACCAAGGCTGACAAGTCGGGTACGATGTTTAACTGTTGGTATTTCGGTTGACTAACATGCAGTTCATGCCAAACTGAAAAAACTTAGATGCACCCTGATAACACGCCCTTTTTTATTCCTCCCCCCCCCCCTACCTTCTCAACACACATCCGCACCCAGTCCTGCAATAATAAACCCCATCCCACCCTCCTGTTAGAGCGGTTTTCAATCGAGTGTCGTAAAACCGAAGCCAAAGTAATCACTCTAGCCAATCACAAGGGGCACAGAGAATACAATGAACCAATCAAAACTCGAAGCAATTACATGTAGCTGACGCAAAGCGCGGGAAAACGCGTGCGAGGTAGTCACGAGTGGTTTTTGTTTTACTTCTGATTGGATGAAAAAGTGGCGCCAGTTTTTTGAGCCGATCGTCCAGCGTAGTAAATGCAAAACCAGTTACTTTTCGACACCCAATTGAAAACCGCTCTAGACTTACAATTGGATTTATCACTCAAGAACAATATAACATAGCGTTGCCATTGTAAGGATCTACAAATACAAACAGTTCAGGGCTGGGAAAAAAATCTTGAATTCTAGCTTGCCCTTCGGACAATTAGCTCTCAAATTTTGTTTGCCCTGGGCAAGTCTTAGTTTGCTCTTGTTTTGATTTAGTTGGCGGAGACGACTTGCCTGAAGCCTTGTTCATCGTGTAAGTGAGAATGAGAAGTTACTTGCCCAGAAGGAGAGTCTATTTTTCCCGGACGAATGGACGGCACTGTTTTCGAGCCTTGCAGTTGTCTTTCAGTTTGTACTGTATTTTTTCCAATGCTTTTTTCATCCTTTGATTGTCTTTATTTTCAGCTCAAAAAGTTGAAGAAAGCCGTTTCGATAAGGAAGTATCTGACGTTCTTGTGACGGAGGAGAGGTCCCCAAAGGCTTCTCCAGAACAAAGCATGTCTGATGCAGATGTGCTGTTTGACTGCCAGGGCGCTTCTTCTATAACTGATCCATCCCTTGTTAGATCTCCTGAGCCTTCAAATCACTCCCTAACGTTCGTAACTCCATCGTCCAGTATCTTCACTACTCCTCAGAGGTCCCTGCCAAAACCAACCGTGCACGACGATTTCTTTCATGGGAACGAGCCCAAGCATACGCCGTTTGGAACAGCGGCGACTGGTGACGACACACTCGAGGAAAAGCCCCCTCGTGATGAAAAGCACGTGACCAGCACACCATATTTAGGTTCAGGCTCTTTGAAGGACTCTATTGACAAGCGCTTTCACGCGGGGTCCCGTCTGAGTGCCTGGTCGCAAGCGGTAACACCTGGAGAGTCCTTCATGGATGAGATAGGTATGGACTTTTTTGTGCAGATATTACTGGTTTGAATGTGACGAAATAACTCATCTTTTGACCCACTCGAGAGCCTTTGTCGGGACGCCATTCTAATGTCACGCAACGCGTAAACTTGGAAATTCAAACATGCCCTATTACATAATGAGGAACCCTGTCGGGCTTAAACATTGCAAAACGTCAAGTTATTAGAGGGTCTAACATCTGATGAAACTAAAACTTCAGAAGGATTGGTAAGTTCTTATTTTGGAAAATGATGACGTCACATGAAAACCGGCAGTTTGTGGGTGCAGCGTTGCATGCAGCAACTGTGCCCGCAGTCAAACCGAAACGATACGCTAATTGAGTCTTTTCCTTCGCGGCTAACGAAAATAAAGACGTTGATAATGTTGCTTTGACCTTTTCTAATAGTTAACTCGATAATTCTGGGTTTAATTTGACGACGAACACCATATTTTGTTCAAAATTAAGTATCAACTATTTTCCTACCCGGCGACACTCGACGAACTACGAGTGAGTTGCCAGACGTGGGCGACTCATTTTTGCCAAATTGAAGGCTTGGAGACTCAAAATGTTTCATATTTTTCACTTTTTGCAATCTGATATGGTTTTTGGAATTATAAATCCATTTTCGTGAATATTCAGTACCGTCTACAGTGAGAAAAGTTGCCTGCAATGCCTTTTCTGTTAACAGACATTGACGTCTGGACAGTGCAGTTTTCCCGCCCTCTGAATCTTGATTGGTCAATTTAAATTTTAGGCGCGCGAGCCTCTTTGTGTAATATAAATGAAGTGTCTTTTCTGTTGTTGCAGAGCCCATTGTGCCATGCCTGTACTTCGAGGCCGAGCTCAAATACGCACCATGTCGCGTCAAGCAGATAGGCTTTATCAACGTTGAAACAAGAGAGAAAATTTATTGTGACATACATGACGGCCATCTCCAGCTTCCCAAGTCGTCCAGTCCTACCTCGTATGAGCATGAAAGCTTCAGGATCCCGGATGTTGTCGGCTGTGCTGTTATCCTGTCAAGGGGACACATTATGTTCACCTTAGATGGAGTACCTACTGGACAGTTTTATGAATTCCCTTCAAGTAAACCGTCATCCATGGTCATTGAAAACCTCTTTCCTTACATATCTTGCACTCGTATACGGTGTAACTATGGCCAGCGGTCGTTCCTGTTTGAGGATGCAAACAGCAAAGAATCGCTCCTTGTGAGTGGAGCCTTGTTGCATGGATTAGTTAAAGACAATTCACAGCTGTAGTCTGGGATTCAGTCACTGACTTCGAAGTTGCAGAGCCCAATAAGCGCTACTACATGAAAGTACTGCTCAATAGCTTTCAGAACCACCTTGTACAGCATAATAAACAGTACCATATGAAAGTGCTGCTCAATAGCTTTTATTCGAACGGTCACACACTAGGGTTTCACTTAAAGATTTAACAGTTAGAACCACCTTGTACAGACAATTCACAGCTGTAGCCTGGGATTCAGTCACTGAATTCGACGTTGCAGAGCCCAATAAGCGGTACTACATGAAAGTACTGCTCAATAGCTTTTAGAACCACCTTGTACAGCATAGATAAACAGCACCACATGAAAGTACTGCTCCATACCTTTCATTTGAATGGTCAAATATTAGGGTTTCATCATCGGACTTAAAAGTTGGAACCACCTTAAACAGAATGATAAACAGTACCGCATGAAAGTATTGCTCAATAGCTTTCATTTGAATGGTCACACACTTGACTAGGGCTTCATCCTCAGACATAACAGTAAGAGTAAACTTGTACAGCATAATAAACATGAAAGTACTGCTCCTTAGCATGCTGTAACACTTCACGCGACATCACTTGCGCAGCAAACCAGTTCTGGGGCTGGTGGTTCAAAGAGGTGATAATAAAACGCCGTCCGAGTCGGTCACTCGCTGTCTACTGGATAAGTGTCAACATAACAAACTACGCTTTCGGCTGTTATTGCAAATAGTTACTTAAGTTGTGCCGTATCTTTATACTGAAAACAGCTGCGGTTTAGTTACTTCTGTCAGAGGATAAACTGAGTGCAGAAAGAAACTGTGCGTTCATTGTTGCTGGGATGATGTGCACGCTTTGAAGTTGTTGAGCGCAATATTGTACCCTCCCCACTCCCCCCTCTTCACCCACTCAATATTCTGTATGTATGTGGAGTGAAAGGGTGAATCTCGCTGACAGTGTCCCGAAAGCGAGCAATATCAGACCTCTCAAGTCTCACGATTTTGTCGTGAGACTCACGGTTTTCAGTTCAATCTCAAGGTCTCACGACGAGACAGACAAATCTCACGATAAATAGAGGCGCAAGCTGAAAGGATAAATTTTTTTGTATAATGTCATTTTTGGCTTGCTTAGATGAGTTTCTTGCGCTAATTCTGTGCAGTTTTTCATCCGTCTGTCCTGTTATTGATCATGAATTTCGTCATAACTTTGTCAAAGTAGCCGTGGATCCGCAGACTACTTTTTCATTTCATTTTCATTTTATTTATTCCATTCTAAAATTACAAAGATAAATACACCTTTTGCTGTTCATTTACAGAAAATAAACATTCATTTGTGTCCAAATTTCTTTCTTTATGGTCAATAAACTCTCATTAACACCAATATGA